CACGCACTCACACTCAGACACACGCGCACACTCACACACGCACAGACACACGCTCACAGACACGTGCACGCACACACTCACAGACACACGAACTCACTCACAGACGCATGCGCACACACTCACAGACGCACGCGCACACACTCACAGACGCACGCTCACACACTCACAGACGCACGCTCACAGACGCACGCGCACACACTCACAGACACACGCTCACAGACGCACGCTCACACGCTCACAGACACACACGCTCACAGACACACGCTCACAGACACACACGCACACGCTCTCTCTCAGTGCATGTATGATTCAAGAACAGCAGAAGGCATTTTTACAACAAAACCTCATCTATGTATGGAAGCCCGTTTCCACCACTGAATAAAACATGAATAAAAGGTTATTGCGACTTTATATCTCACAATTCTGACTTTTTTCACAGAATTGCGAGATATAAAGTCACAATCGCGAGATAAAAATGTGCAATTCTGACTTTTTTTACTCGCAGGACTTTTATGTTCTCAGACCTGTGAGTTTATATCACACGATTCTGAGGAAAAAGTCAGAACTGAGAGATAAAAAGTCGCAATTAGCTTTTGCACACACGCACACACAGACACACGCGCACACTCACAGATGCAGGCACACACTCACAGATGCAGGCACACACGCTCACAGACACACACTCACAGACACACACTCACAGACACACACTCACAGACACACACTCACAGACACAGGCACACACTCACAGATGCAGGCACACACACTAACAGACACACACTCTCTCTCAGTGCATGTATGATTCAAGAACAGCAGAAGGCATTTTTACAACAAAACCTCATCTATGTCTGGAAGCCCGTTTCCACCACTGAATAAAACATGAATAAAAGGTTATTGCGACTTTATATCTCACAATTCTGACTTTTTTCACAGAATTGCGAGATATAAAGTCACAATCGCGAGATAAAAATGTGCAATTCTGACTTTTTTTACTCGCAGGACTTTTATGTTCTCAGACCTGTGAGTTTATATCACACGATTCTGAGGAAAAAGTCAGAACTGAGAGATAAAAAGTCGCAATTAGCTTTTTTATTTTTTATTCCGTGGCGGAAACGGGCTCATAGATCCGTGTCAGCCAGCTAGACAGCATTATTAGCAACATCAGTGCAGAAGACATCACAGGAGGACACATCTTGAAGTTGGCAAGGAATACAAGTGGATGAACAAACACAGCTCTGACCTCAGATCTGAAGACACCAAGCAGCTCCTGAAACAGCTAACACATGAACTCTTCTATGCTCTAGCAAAGAAGCCGGACAGGTCTTCAGAGATTACAATTTTATAACTGTATACTGATTTGATTTTTATAATTAACAGCAGGGTTGCAAAGGGGTGGAACACTTCCGGAAAATCTCCAAACATCCCTGGAATATTCCCAAAAAATCCTGGTAAATTCCCCAAAATGTCTGGAATATTTCCTTAATTTTCTGGAAATGTTCCACCTTTTAGCAACCCTAATTATCAGCCACAGTTGTTCCTGAAGATGAGCAGATATTAGGTGCTCTCTAGTTGGATTCTAGGAGACACCAAGTGCTTTATAGACAAGAAAGACAGTAGTTTCTGACAGTAGTCTCTTCTCTCAGACAGAGGTGTACCTTGTTGGCAGCTATGAGCACTTTATCCAGGAAGCGGAGCCACTCGAAGACGAAGACGGCTCTCTTGGCTTCAGTGATGTGCGCCAGGGCCTCTTCATTCAGCAGCAGACTGTGCGCCAGCTCCATCCTGACACACACACAACGCCTTTAGCACCCCCGCAGCATTACCAGCATCAGCACCTGTGAACCACATTCACGGAGTAAACCTTAGCTTACCTGTTCTCCGCGTAGCGAGCTTCTGTGTTTGTGTTGAGGTCGGCGGAAAGGTCCCCTGCGAGTCACTTCCGCCTTCACAGCCAATGAACGGAGAGGACGCAAGTCACGCGCGTGGAAGTGAACGTAACTTCCTGCAGGTGGCGCTCAGAGGCCCAGACTATTAGTTGTGTGTACACTAAACACTGAAATGTTTAATAGTTCCAAACCGTGTTTTTGTCTTATTCCGAATCACTCCGGTACACTTATAATAAGCGCTTATATTCGGACTATTGTAGGCTGGTCACCGCTGCGGAGGAACACACACCTGCGTGAGTCGCCAGAGACATACACTCAGAGAAGTAGCTCCGGCTGGAATGTTCCTCCGCGGGATGTGTGCAGCTCCGTTGTTAAGCGTCTCGTGGCTCTGACTCTTGCTGTAAGACAGCGCAGATCAGGCACAGCTCTCCTGGGGCCCTTTAGGGGACTGGTTCATCCTCCTCTGCAGGGTCTCGGGCCGCCAGGCCATCATAGCTCAACACAGTTGCTTTAAATATTCACGTTTAACATTACTTTAAATCTTGAAAAACATAAGGAAAACACACAAAACCAGAGCATATTTTCACATTGAGAAAAACTTAGCATTTACAGTAGTATGCTAAATGTTTGTGTGATTCAGTGAAGGAGGGCAAACCAGCCAGAGACGTGAAAACAACAACAAAAATAATAATTCCAGCAAAAGTATATATTAAACAAGTATAATCATTTGTGCACAATGTAACATTTCCAAATAGAACAAAATAAATAAATAATAATAATAAAAACAGGACTCAATCATGGCACATGCAAGATCTCATCATAGTTCTTCAACAGCAACAAACAAGTAGTACATTTTTCTTAGTAATTTGATTAAATGTTCTACTCCACATAAGAAATCTATAAGCGTCCATACTTTCTTAAGTAACCTTTGTTTGTGAAAATAACATTTTCCCACAGTTTACGCACTTCAACCGCCAATAAACACCGAAGAAGAAGAAGAAGTTTACGCACTTCCGCCCACCGCGCTCAACGGTGTGCCGTCACGTCCGGTGGTCTCGAGCTCGGAGAAGATGGCGGCTGTCGTAGTGAACGCTGACGGAGGCGTCGCGCCGCTGGACCCGGACTCTGCGTCGCCGCGGACCCCGTCTCCAGCGCCGGAGCAGCCGCTGCAGAACAACGCGCTGCTGGGGCTCCCGATCGTGGCCATCGAGAACATCCTCGGCTTCCTGTCGTACGACGAGATCAGCCTGCTGCGGCTGGTGAGGGCACAATAGCCGCGTCTCGGGTCTGGCCCGTCGCGTCGCGTCGCGTCTTACACTGTCGCGCATGCTTCTCTGCGTTAGACACGGGCAGCGCGCTAGCATGTGAGACCGCAGGAGCGCCGTCTTGGTATGCAGACACACCCCGTGTGTCCATTAGTAGCAGAGCCGAGCGTGAAACCCGTAGAGTACCGCGCTATGATCAGAAGCACGCTCCGGTGACTGAGGCAGGCCTCTGGAGCTCTAGATGTTGGTGAAGACTGTGTTCTGCTCTGTGTTGCAGGTGTGTAAGCGCATGGATGTGGTTTGCCAGCGCGTGCTCAACCAAGGCTTCCTGAAAGTGGAGCGCTATCACAGCCTGTGCCAGAAGCAGGTCAAAGCCCAGCTGCCCAGGTGACTCCTCCTGAAGACACGCAGTCTAAACCCTGCAGACAGTTACTGACATGCATCTAAACAAACGGCGAGCACGATTAGTGACCAAACTTATGGAGCATCTGGTAGTTGTGTCAGATCTTCATAAGCGTAACTGCTTGAAATATCTTCACAGCTGGCAGCTCTACACTCACTTCTGTACCGTATTTACCCGTAAGAGTGCATGTGAGTGCCATAAAGGCACACGTACTAGGACTTCTGCGAAAGCGTCCTGCCCCAGTGACTGCTTTTGTGCCTTGTTTCTTTTCTGAGAGTGTAGATGAAGAGTGGTAACTCTTGAGATCCGCTAGACAGGATAGTTCAGCGTAAAGTGACCGTCCTGCCATCATTTACTTGCCTTCATGTTGTTCACGACTGACCAGAAACGGACAAAAAAAGACAGACATTCCTCAAAATCTTCATCTTCTGTGTTCCTCAGAAGAAGGAGGGTTTGAAACGACTTGAGGACGAGTTAAAGGGATAGTTCACCCAGAAATGGAAATGTGATGTTTATCTGCTCACCCCCTGCAGGGCATCCAAGATGTAGGTGACTTTGCTTCTTCAGTAGAACACAAATTATGATTTTTAACTCCAGCCGTTGCAGTCTGTCAGTCGTATAATGCATGGCAATGGTAACAAAATCTCTGAGAGTAAAAAAAACATGCACAGACAAATCCAAATTAAACCCTGCGGCTCGTGACGACACACTGATGTCCTAACACACGAAACGATCGGTTTGTGCCAGAAACCCAACAGTATTTATATCATATTTTACCTCTAATACACCACTATGTCCAGCTGTCTTTGAGCGCGCGCGCACAGCATCCGGTGCGTGAGGTGTGTACGCGCTCTGGCGTAGTTTACGTTAAAGGGTGTGTTGATATCCAGCCGAAGAGCAATCAACCATAACTTCAGGCGAGCAGGCTCAGAAGTTGGGAATACGTGGAACTGTGTAAACAACGAGTGACGTATACGCGCGAGAGATCACTTCCGGCGCTCGCGTAAACTACGCCAGAGCGCGTACACACCTCACGCACCGGATGCCGTGCGTGCGCACAAAGACAGTTGGACATAGTGGTGTATTAGAGGTAAAATATGATATAAATACTGTTGGGTTTCTGGCACAAGCCGATCGTTTCGTGTCTTAGGACATCAATGTGTCGTCACGAGCCGCAGGGTTTAATTTGGATTTGTCTGTGCATGTTTTTTTTACTCTCATAGATTTTGTTACCATTGCCATGCATTATACGACTGACAGACTGCAACGGCTGGAGTTAAAAATCATAATTTGTGTTCTACTGAAGAAGCAAAGTCACCTACATCTTGGATGCCCTGCGGGTAAGCAGATAAACATCACATTTTAATTTCTGGGTGAACTATCCCTTTAAAGGTGAGGGGGATCGTTATGAGGGGAACTGAACTCTTTGGGAATTGAGAGGCTTTTGCTGTGAGCTTTACTTCTATATGGGTCTGTAATAAGTGCTCGTGTGTTCAGACGCACATGTGAGACTCAACCCTGTTTTTCATGTGAATTATGTTCATTTATTCCCCAACAAACATCGTCAGCATCCACAGACTGAATCCTCTTTTGCATGTGAAGTCTCTGTGAACTTGATCTCAGCTTTCAGTCATGCATCCTGTGCCACGCTGGTTCACATCACAGCCCAGCAAAGCTTGCGACGGCCATAGTAGTGTTAAAAGTGACGTCTAAATGCTTCTCCCTTTTAGATTCACAAAACGTATTTCTTTCTGTAATAATACAATTACTGTTGCTGCAGTAAAGCGGTGGTCATGCTTTATAGTGGTTATGGTAAAGCTGAATACTGCTTGTTTTGTGCTCGCCTTCTTGGACATCTCACTCCATTTCCATTCACTTACAGCAACAGTCATGTAATAAAGCAATAATCCCCATGAAGCCGTGGTTTACAGTGAATTTATAACCGCTAAGGGGCGCGAAGCGGAGTGCCTAAAACCCACTTAGATGTTATAAACTGTAAACCACGGCTTCACGGGGCTTATTGCTTTTATAAAGCGGTTATTCAATATACGTAGTAAGCTTTCATTAAATAAAACAGAGCAAATAAAGTGTAATGATATTAATAAACACAGTATTCTTCCACCAAACAATGTAGCTCCTCAGAAACAGTTGTGGTTGCGACAAAGTGCTTGCCGGACTGGAACTCTCCGTTATATAATATTGAGTAATTTGAGGGTTGATAACAACGGTTAAACTTAACCCAGAAGTGTCTTTATTTCAGTGCTCATGAATGCAAACTAAAGCAGTGTGCTCTAATGCGTTTGTTGGCGATCAGGCGGGAGTCGGAGCGGAGGAACCACTCGTTGGCGCGTCACGCAGACATACTGGCGGCGGTGGAGACGCGCCTGTCGCTGCTCAACATGACCTTCATGAAGTACGTGGACTCAAACCTCTGCTGCTTCATTCCTGGAAAGGTACGTCTGCATGTCTGTTAGGAGATGGCCGTGTTTCGTCCACTATGGCTGCAGTTGATGCAGCTTTGAATATGATCGTGATATTCTGTCCGTTTCTTTTAATTACTCAGAAGTGGCTGCCTGAAAGACCATCTATCTGTGCAGTCCATAAATGCACAAAACGACACAGTCTTTGACATTTAATTATCATCCAAAAATCACCACTCCACACACTGGACCACGCTGATAGTGTGAAGCATTGACACTTGCGCTGATCTGTTTGACTGGCTTGTTGTCGGGTGGCTTGTCAGTGTGTTGTATTTCATCTTGTGGGAAGGATTTTGTCAAAGGGGCTAATATCATTTTGGTGTCATAAATGTGAGTGTTTTTGTACGCAAATGATCAGCGTTGTTGCATTAGCTGCAGGCTTGCTGTCAGCTGCTCTGTTCTCTGTTTAAAGCTGCGAGTTATCTAAAAAAAAAAAATGTCCTGGCTCTTCCAAGCTTTATATTGGCAGTGAATGGGTGGTGAGATTTTAAAGTAAAATAAAGCACATCCATCCATCATAAAAAGTGCTCCACACGGCTGTGGGAGTTAATAAAGGCCTTCTGAAGCGGAGAGATGCGTTTGTGTAGGAAAAATATCCATATTTAAAACTTTATAAACCATAATCTCTAGCTTCCGGTGGATGATGCAGGACGTAGCGTAAACTCCGGTGAGAATATGCTTGAGAAATAAGTTGACACAATGTTTACACGGCGTTTTAAATCATGGCGGGTGAGGGCGTTTTCATACGCGTTTGGCCAATCAATGTCTACTTGCGTCACGATTAGTACCAGTTGTGCTGGTCAGACCCTGCTCCGGAGTAGGAGCTAATTTGGTTCTCGAAAAAGGCAGTCCGGTACTAAAATCGCTCCCAGTTCCGGCGGTGCAAACACGCCGAAAAGTGGGTCGTTCCACAATTAGTTCTGGTACTATGACAATTCCCTTTGATGTTCCGCACAATCAGAAGATGCAAAAGCAAACCTCCGGTGTTGTGTTGTCATCTTGAGAAGAAAAATATCCATATTTAAAACTTTATAAACCATAATCTCTAGCTTCCGGTGGATGATGCAGGACGTAGCGTAAACTCCGGTGAGAATATGCTTGAGAAATAAGTTGACACAATGTTTACACGGCGTTTTAAATCATGGCGGGGGAGGGGGGTTTCATACGCGTTTGGCCAATCAATGTCTACTTGCGTCACGATTAGTACCAGTTGTGCTGGTCAGACCCTGCTCCGGAGTAGGAGCTAATTTGGTTCTCGAAAAAGGCAGTCCGGTACTAAAATCGCTCCCAGTTCCGGCGGTGCAAACACGCCGAAAAGTGGGTCGTTCCACAATTAGTTCTGGTACTATGACAATTCCCTTTGATGTTCCGCACAATCAGAAGATGCAAAAGCAAACCTCCGGTGTTGTGTTGTCATCTTGAGATGGTCAGAGGAAACCTGTCCTAAAGTGGCATCAACCAGACAGTCAGGTTCTTCTGTGAGCTTGTAGGATGGCTTCGTTCACTCTACAGTGAGCATTCTGAAGGACGTCCAGTGAGGGATCATCTGGTAAAATCAGCCGTAATATCTTTAGTAATCTGAAAGTAATCCAAGCAATAAAGAACATTGTAGTCGGGTAATCTTGTAGGGTGTGTCTTAAGTTCAAAACAAATCTTTCTTGAGGAAATGCAAAAGCTGAGAGGGAGTTATGCAAAGGCCTGTTAAGGCCTGCAGCAAAGAATGCAAATCCCAGGTGTTTGTCATTTGTGTGACAGAAGAACACTGATGTGCTGCCGTCAGGACGAGGAGATTTACAACCAAAACCCTTCAATAAAAGCAGCTATTTCTGCTGGTAGCAGAGTGTGATGTTTTTAGCGGGTTGTTTTGTTTTGTTTTTCCTGTCTGGATGTCTAAAAAAACTGAAATATAAGTTTATATGTTTATCTTATCGTATTTTGATTTGCAATCACAAAATGATCAATAATTTTGTGTAGCCTACAAACAAGCACAGCAAACCTAAAGGCTCTTTCATTTATTTTAAAGGTTTGAAAGTGTTCTCATAATTAAGTCATTGTAGTTAATTGTGTAATAGATCTCAGCACTAATTTCCAATGTTTTTGGTCATGGTCACAATTTCTATCAGAAAAATTGCAATTAGAATTTCTTACCCCCAAAATCATTCAGTCCTACCGAAATGCATAAAGATATTTAATTTGAAATGCATAAAGACTTCAGCAAAATGTGAAAAACCCGGTGATTTGCCAGTGTTGTTTTCTGCCTCCCGCAGGTGATCGATGAGATTTATCGTGTTTTGCGATATGTGAACTCCACACGCGCGCCGCAGAGAGCTCACGAGGTGCTGCAGGAGCTGCGAGACATATCCTCCATGGCCATGGAGTACTTCGACGAGAAGATCGTCCCCATCCTGAAGAAACGGCTTCCCGGAGCGGATCTCTCCGGACGACTGATCGGATCTGCTCCGGGTACGACTGTCACTTAAAGACACTTAAAGATATTTTTTACAATATGTAATAAGTCTCTGGTGTCCCCAGAATGTGTCTGTGAAGTTTCAGCTCAAAATACTCCACAGATCATTTATTATATAATTTTGAAAATGCCTATTTTGAGTGGAAGCAGAAACAGGCTGTTTTTCGGGCCCGTCTCTTTAAATGCAAATGAGCTGCTGATCCCCGCCCCCTTTTCCAGAATAGAGCTGCGCCTTTACAGCTCGGACCTGCTAAAACATCTGTTTTGGTTCTGATTATTATGTTTATCGCGCTGAAATCATACGTTTTAAACCATATGAGTTTAAACTTCTGATATATGGTTTTCTGAGCGCACACATCCGAAGCACACGCACAGAAAGCGGCTGTCACAGCATGTGAGTACTGAAAGGGGCGGTAATATTATAATGAGATCCCTTTGCCACGTCACCAAGCGAGCGAAATCAGACGCTCTCGTTTTCTCAGACGCTTGCAGAAAAAGGCTTCCCAAAACAAAGTTACTGGGTTAATCTTTTTCACATTTCCTTGGTTGGTAGATGCACCGGGGACCTGATTATAGCACTTAAAACCTGGAAAAGTCAGATTTTCATGATATGTCACTTTTAAATCGCTGCTGTTTTAAATCTTATGGCTCTGTCTTGCAGTGGCCGGTCCCTCTACCTCTCTGACCACCATGTCCCTGTTGGCCAAAAACACTCCGTCTCGCTCAGAGATGACGAAGGTGCAGCAGCAGGTGAAGGTGAACGGCGCGTCGATGACGGCGCTGCGGCGCGAGATGCAGGAGGTGCGGGTCAAGCAGCTGGAGCAGCAGAAGCAGCTGCAGGATCAGGAGCAGAAGCAGCTGGAGCAGTCGCAGGTGATCGGAGAGCAGAACGCCCGGCTGGCCGAGCTGGAGCACAAGCTCAGGGAACTGATGGAGAGTGCTGCGGCGGCCTCCAGCTCCTCCTCCACCCCTGCGGCGTCCTCCTCCTCCTCTGCCACCATGAGCCCAGCAGCCGAGGGCGAGAGCGGCCTGTGTCTCAAACGCCCCCGCAAGTGCTCGGACCTCCCGCGTCACTCCAAACGCCTGCGTAGCAAGAAATAGAGGGACGTTTCTCTATCATCATTTCTTTTTTTTTTTTTCTTTTTTTTTTTTTAAGGGATAGTTCACCCAAAAATGAAAATTCTGTCATTAATTACTCGCCCTCGTGTCGTTCCAAACCCGTAAGACCTTCGTTCATCTTCGGAACACAATTTAAGATATTTTTCTGATGAAATTCGAGAGCTTTCTGGCCCTCCCATAGACCGCAACGCAACTGTAATGTTCCCAGACCCAGAAACGTAGCAAGGACATCAGTAAAATAGTGACATCAGGGGTTCAACCGTAATTTTATGAAGCTACGAGAATACTTTTTGTGTGCAAAGAAAACAAAAATAACTTTAACTATTCTTCTCAATTCTTCAGTTCTGATTCTTACGTTATCACGCGCATGCGTTGTTTACATGAAGCGGAAGCAAGTGCATGCGTCGTGATACTCCCAACAATGGTGGTGCGCCATCGCAGACGGGATGAGGAGGAGAAGAATTGTCAAATAAAGTAATTATTTTTGTTTTCTTTTGCGCACAAAAAGTATTCTCGTATCTTCGTAAAATTACGGTTGAACCCCTGATGTCACATGGACTATTTTACAGATTTCCTTGCTATGTTTCTGGGTCTGGGAACATTTCAGTTGTGTTGCTGTCTGTGGGAGGGTCAGAGAGCTCTCGGATTTCATCAAAAATATCTTAATCTGTGTTCCGAAGACGGGTTTGGAACGACACGAGGGCGAGTAATTAATGACAGAATTTTCATTTTTGGGTGAACTATCCCGTTAAGTTTTCTTTTGCTTCCTTAAAGCTATACCATTTTTTCCACTTATGTCAAATGATGATGCGAGTATCGCACAGAGTTGGTGGGAAATTGAAATCGAGAGGGGAATCTTTTTGTTTTATCAGTTGTCAGCACGTCCCTCATATCAGACACGTATTACACTAATATGCTTGAGCCCCGTCGCTTGGAAACTTCTGTTTTTAAAGGTTTGGCATCTGCCTTGAGCAACGTTTGCCTTTAATGTTTACCCCACCTTCATGCCAGTGAGCTCTGGATTGCCCGAGGAAACATTGCAAAGAAGCTTTAGTCAATCAAACACAAGACGAACGTTTGCAAGGAAAACATGAACAGAAATGATGGTTCTTCAGTGTGGAAACGTAGCTTCTTTGGCGCTCCGCAGTAGTTTCGACCATAAGTCGGTTCGATTGTGTACAAAGTTTTCAATTAAGACTTAGATCCCCTTCTTGAAATGGAGAGCATGAGGTGTTCGACACCTGACTACTAAGTTATATCGTTATGTAAATGGTAAATATCAGCTTTGTTCTATGTTTTAAGAGTGAAATGTTTCATCTGAGATGTGCCTGGACGATATGAGCAAGTCAGTGGTCTTGCAGACGTCTGCAGCTGTAGCATACATGATTATATTGTTCGTCTAAAGATCGTCCATCACTGAGGATAGTGTCTTGTAGGTGTTAATGCCATGTTGTACCTGCCACTGTTTGTAGGTGTATAATTTACTGCAAATAGATCCGTGTCAGTGCAATAAAATTTGTGGAAAGCCTTGTTACTAGGAAAGTAAATCATTGACATTCTAGTCCGTTGTTGCCCGTAAGGCATGTTTTTTTTGTCATTTGACACTGTAACGTAATTGTCATTCCAGCTGCGCAATTATGTAGGAAAGATTCCATTTGCTTCTGAAGCGCAGTATCGCCTTTCCTTCATAAAATACATAATAGTATCTGCTCAAACCAGAGAGATCAGTTCTTCACAGTCCAGATGATAATCCTGTACTGCATGAACTGTAATGGTGAATAGATTGAGCAAGTAGTAAATGAGGGGTAGAAATATCAGTGAAGAATTTTAATGTTTTTTTTCCCTTTACATTGTTGTGTATCAGCATGTTTTTTCACATCAGCGTTTCATTCAAGAGTTGCTACCAGTCCCATTGTTAGTGTACTGTCAATACTTGTATCCGCTAAACAAATCCGCTGTCCAGTTTCTTACCAAAAATGATGCATGTAGTTCCAAGAACAACAACAAAAAGCTAACTTCCTTAAGTAGGGTTAAGTAAGCTGAAACCATTTTTGAATTTACTGTACAGTTGCTCTGGAACAAGGGCCTTACATGAGTATTTTCTATATCTTAACCCCTGTTTGAGCTTCTTTTTTAGTAGGCTGCCAACATGAAACTTGTCTCGTAGTTCACGAAGAAGCCTTTTTTGTGCAAGTCCATTTTCACCCAAGAAAGGTGATTGTGAGATAACATAAAAAAAGAAATAGTCACATTGTTGTGAGATATAAAGTCTCAATTGCAGGATATAAAGCTGTAATTACAAGAAATAGTTGTAATTGCAAGATCTGAAGTCATGTTGCGAGAAGCAAAGACGCATTGTGCAAGTTAAAATAATGTCATTGTCAGGGCGGCTCATTTAAGACTCAGATCACGTACAGACAATATAGAAACTGTTGTGAATAGCAGCACTGAATGCAGCCCACACGCTGCTCCAACACAATCTCCACTTATCTACTGCAAGTTCACTGTAATTTTTCCAGTACGTTGCCCACTCCTCATTGAAAATGATTACTTTCTTAGCGGGTAACTTTTTTCCAATGTTGCAGTCTGGCCACCGCATCACCTCACTTGCCAAGTTAAACAAAACAAATGCAATCAAATGTGCCCAGGTTTTTAATTTATTGTAAAACGAAGTATGGTCATGCATGATTTGTGAATTCTTTACAAGATTCTTACCTTTCAACCACCTAAACATCCTATGCCATGAATGGGCAACTCCGGGGAGCCACTGTCCTGCGCTGTAATGGTGAATAGACTGAGCAAGTAGCAAATGAGGGGTAGAAATATCAGTGAAGAATTTAATGTTTTTTTCCTTTTACATTGTTGTGTATGAGCATGTTTTTTCACATCAGCGTTTCATTCAAGAGTTGCTACCAGTGTCATTGTTAGTGTACTGTCAATACTTTTTGCAGTTGTGAATACAAATGTGTTGACTTAAGCCCCTCCCCCTTTAATCGGTAATGTTAGTGTCCTTATGTTTGAATGACCAAAACTATTTGAATTCTGGATAAAAAAAATACATACCAGTTTTAATGGCACTTTACCACATTTTCCAAGATATAACATTTGGCAAGGTGCCCTTCTGCAAGGGACTGCAAGGTTTTGCAAAGAAAGCCATTTGGCCTGATGCCGCAAAAGAATATATTGTGTCTCGAGGAGAAGCTTAAATGGCAATCCCAAAACTGTAACTGAACATTAAGGAACAAATCCGCTGTCCAGTTTCTTACCAAAAATGATGCATGTAGTTCCAAGAACAACAACAAAAAGCTAACTTCCTTAAGTAGGGTTAAGTAAGCGGAGACCATTTTTGAATTTACTGTACATTTACTACAGGTACAGTTGCTCTGGAACAAGGGCCTTACATGAGTATTTTCTATATCTTAACCCCTGTTTGAGCTTCTTTTTTAGTAGGCTGCCAACATGAAACTTGTCTCGTAGTTCACGAAGAAGCCTTTTTTGTGCAAGTCCATTTTCACCCAAGAGAGGTGATTGTGAGATAACATAAAAAAAGAAATGGTCACATTGTTGTGAGATATAAAGTCTCAATTGCAGGATATAAAGCTGTAACTACAAGAAATAGTTGTAATTGCAAGATCTGAAGTCACGTTGCGAGAAGCAAAGATGCATTGTGCAAGTTAAAATAATGTCATTGTCAGGGCGGCTCATTTAAGACTCAGATCACGTACAGACAATATAGAAACTGTTGTGAATAGCAGCACTGAATGCAGCCCACACGCTGCTCCAACACAATCTCCACTTATCTACTGCAAGTTCACTGTAATTTTTCCAGTACGTTGCCCACTCCTCTCATTGAAAATGATTACTTTCTTAGCGGGTAACTTTTTTCCAATGTTGCAGTCTGGCCACCGCATCACCTCACTTGCCAAGTTAAACAAAACAAATGCAATCAAATGTGCCCAGGTTTTTAATTTATTGTAAAACGAAGTATGGTCATGCATGATTTGTGAATTCTTTACAAGATTCTTACCTTTCAACCACCTAAACATCCTATGCCATGAATGGGCAACTCCGGGGAGCCACTGTCCTGCAAAGATTAGCTCCATCCCCATTCCTGTCTTATGCTATTGAACTATCATTGAACTATGATATTTCATTGTCCAACAAGTTGTACAACAGGCACTAGTTTATATATTATGTGTCATGCATATAGTGAGTGGTTATGGGTTGTGATAGGCCACCACAGGATCTAGGCTGCTTTTTTAGTCCAACATGAAGGCATCTACGAGAGCTATATCTTAAATTACATACTTCGACATATTGTTTGGTTTGCATCCATTGCTGCAATGGTGAAGGTTAGTTATTCTGTCAAAGAATGTAACCTCTGAAACGGTCTGTGTAGTGTTTCTGTGGGTTGGTGTAAATCGTGGCTCTGTGTAAACGCTGCAGGATCATCTAAGTGGTATGAGAGAAGATGTGATGTTCTTTGAAATGTCCCAGCAGGCCCACAATGTTGACTCCAGTGTAATGATGGAGTAAACCACCCACTGTAAAGATGGGGAACAGCCTCATCACTTGAGTTCTTTTGGTGCCACTTCCACTGCCCAAGTCTCTCTCTTCTGAAAACTTTATGCAACAAATGCTTGAAAGGTGAATGCCCCCAAAGGGAATGATTTCAAATGCAGCATAAATATGTTTTCGGTTTGGATGCGTGAAGCCTGGTTTGTGTGCGTTCATGTGGTCCTGAGACAGGATATTTCAAAGCAGATCATATGTGTGAGTCAAACCCGTTTCCCTTGATATTGTGGCACAGACCACAAAATTGACCCAACCCATTTGAATCCTACACAGAATATTCTGCTTTAAAGCGATATGGAGGAGATCAAACTGTTAGGCAGCTTTAAGATTATTAATGGCCCTTGGGGCCCGTTCTTCGTACCTCGCTTAATACATCTGAGATGATGCCAGATCTTCTAATCGTGATTACTGATCTCTGGCTAATTTGGTTCTTCAAACGAATTTGTGGATTTGATTAAAATATCTGGATTA